TCCTGGGATATGACTTGACAATGTTTTTGAAAAGATCACTGTGATAAAAATATAAAACGATTAAAACTTTCAACGACTTCTTCTGATTAAGCAGACATCTATAAAATCATGATGTTCAACTGTTTTTGAGATGAAGCCTGGCAGTGTTTGTGAAATGAAATAACCTTAACCTATAAGGTTATACTTTCTACAGTTCAGGGTTCAAATGTGTTCAAACCATCAGATATCTTCTTCTGAATGAGCTATTTGTTGCAACATCTCTGTCTGAAATGTTTAAGTTGGTGGGCCTGTCATTCAAAGAATTCAACCAGAGATAATGTTGTCTCTAAGACTTGCTTGAATGTTGTAAATGAGTTGTTTATACACCATTACCTGAGTCTTGTGTTAACAGACTTTCTTATAAAGGCTTGATAAATGTGGTGAAAAATGTAAAGACATGTATCTTAATCTTATGTGCAGATCACTTGCCCTTTAAAGAGACCTAAGGGCAGTGTAGTTAGTGCCTCACAGGGATACACCATGTGGAATAAAAATCTTAACACACAAATGGCTCTTCTGACATAATTGAATAGAGTCGGCTATTATACAGCAAACACTGGTAAAGCAATTGGGCCGTTATTTCAGAACATAGCAATTATAACACCACTGAAGATCAATACACATTTTCTGTATCTCTACTGGGCAGCTACTAACTGTGGGCCCCCTCTAGGTACTGCCCTGAATGGTAAAGTACAGACTTGGTCACAAATTACACATTTTATTAATGGTCAAGTGGGTGTCCAATGATTGGTGTGTTATAAAACGAATCATTGACCATATTGACTGTGTAAAATGAAGAGTTTGAGTGTCCTGAGATTGTAAGGGTAGCTGTAATTCATTGAAGGCTACTGATTACTTTTATATCTCCTCAGCTATTTTCTAAAAGTCGTGTTAGATTGTATTATAAAGGGCGTTTCCTTTAAACTGTATTATTTGTTCTAATGAAACATTAATTTTAGTGGAAACATAAACACAATGAAATTTTCATTGCCATGGACAAGAAAACGATAGGAGAAGATAGCTGGAAATACCTTTTGTTGATGTAGAAATGGGAATAATTTTACACCTTTTTGTCAAAGTTGTCACTTTGGACTCACTTTCCTTGTTAACATTGACTTTGGTCAAAAAGGGGCATTGAACTTGGTGTTCAGTTCCATTGCACATGTGTTTGTTTGACATTTATAATTACTAAAATTCTGGAAATTTCAAGATAGTTCTCTAGATGGTGTCTTCCTCAGTGCTAAAAATATTTCAAATTTTTCATCCAAAACTTTCACTGCCAAAAATGTGCTGCTTTGAAAAATATATCATATATGAAGCGATACATCGTATACTTGTGTCCTGACAGTTGAGAACTAGATGAAAAAAAAGTAGCAAGTAATGGGGCCTTTTCTTCTTTTAACTTTTATTTTTTGAGAGGGCTGTTAAAGCTATAGGGTGCATGGTTTCACCCGATCATTTCTTGGTTGGATATCTTAGGGATCAGTGTTGTATAGCTTAAAGTGTCTGTCTTGCTTTCCAGTGTTTGTCATGATAGGAATATATACCATTGCTCCATTGGGGCTAATCCCCGAGTTTTGAATCAGTGAGAACAAATAGCCTGCAGCACTTTCTCCGTAACCACTTTTGGTAACACTTTTGTTATTCAGGCCATCTCTTGTTGAAGTGGAATTCGCACATTTGTGAACATCAGCATTGGAATAGAAATGCCTCTCGCTTTTTCTAAAATCAATATAGAATTTTCAAAGACAAGATAAAATATTTTGATTAGCCTGTATGATTCACACATTTGAAGATATATTTAGGAAACATTTGTTTTTGCAGTTCACTGCATCACATGGAATAAGTAATCATATTTGTTGCAACACAATGTTGCTTTCGTTCTGTCAGAACTAAATTATTTTACGATGCCATATCTTATCGGATTTCACTTACTTTCCAGGTTGCCAGTTTTCATGGCAGACTGGTTGAGCATTGCAAGTGAATTAAATATCTATAACTAAGCTTGATTACTCTCTCCCGAAGCTATGCCCTTGATAGCTTTCTGCTTCGCTGTTTTTCTTTTAAACCTAGTTTGATGGCTTTCACCTGAAGCATTGCCATTGTTATACATTAGCCTAGATGGCTGGTTCCTGAAAACATGTCAATCAAACCAAGCAAGATGACATTTCTTTAAAAAAAATGGCAAGCTTACACTAGACATGAAATTATGTTCCCATTCAAACAGATCTAAAAGGGTTTTGCCCTGAAGCTTTGCCCAAATAATTAGTAAAGTGAATTTTTGTTGTTGAATATTTCAGACCTACTTAGGGTTATTGCTGTGATGTGTCTGTATATTGTGTATGGCTTTCAGATAATTAGATGGTATGTGCGTTGTACAGTCTACCACTGCTGTTCATTACTAATGGGATTGAGATTGCTGGATGCTTCAAACTATGAACCTGCTTTTATCAGACTTAGCCAACAATACTAATACTCTCGTGTAATGATAAGCTTAATGTTGTGAATATTTAAGGAGATTACAGTCACCCTGGCCTTCAAACATGACCTGATGCAGGTGTGTTGTTATGTTCCCTGATGAAGCAATACCCATATTGAAAATTTGCAATCCAAAGCATATACATTGTTTGCTTATAATGCATATGCACAGGTTTTGCTACCGGAGTGGATCGTAAAAGCTGTGAACCTTCTCATACAGTTCTTCCACCCGTCTGTCCTTATATTTGTGAGTCATTTGGTCCATTCATCTGTTCATTCATACATGCAACACAATCCTTGGATTGCGAAATGTTGTATATCAACACCTTGATGAAAATGGATCTCGTGCTCCTCATAATAGTTATTACCCTCAGTATAATTTGTGCCAAAGTATACCCAGAGTTATGTGCCCTTTGTTGATTATCGATGGAGAATTACCAAAAAATGAGAAGTGTATATTATATATTGCTTTATGTTCAAATAAGATGTTCAGACTTACATTTTGGTGAACACTAAAATGTAATTGTAACACCTATTTTAGTGATATGTGAATACATATTTTGCAAATCATAGATTTAAAATTTCAAATCAAATTAGATAACTTTAAGGTACAAACCAGTGCATTAGGATTTTTGTTGTCATTAGTATGGTGTATATAAAATAAACAGAAATTGAATATACTTTAAAACATGTTTATATTAATTTATATCATTGAATGTTAAAATTTTGTATTTTTCTTCAAAATTTTGAAGCATTCATTTTTGTATCGTTTTCTTCAAAATTTGATCTTGTTTGTTGAACTAACCAGACTAACAAGAATTGTATGTGATGTAATACAAGCTCCACAGGAAATGTTTGCTAGAAATATGCATTCTTCATTGTGGAACTTCAATTATTGGAATGCATTGGTATGACATGAAGCTTTGAGGGTCAACAGGTCAAAGTTTCAGGTGATTGCGTTTAAGATATAATGTGTTATGCCTGAAACTACTTGTGGGAATCTGTGATGTTGACATCACCTGAGACATGAGCAGTAGACCTTGATTTCCTTACTGTTAGCTCTAATGTATTATGCCTTCCATGGAATTAAGGAATTGGGCTTGGGCTTTGTTGCCTATAGCAACGATGGATTAGCCACAGTGGCAAGATTGTCAGTTGAATCTTGGTGGAAGTCTAGTGTATTGTGTTATGGCTGCTGGTCTGACAAGAAGAGGGGAAGTGCTCATTAGTTTTACTGCATCCTAATGGTATAATGGTATCAGGCATAAAGTGCAGAACATGGACTCCCAGTACCTGCAGAGATGGCCATTAGCGTCTTCAGACGCCTTGCCACCAATTCTATTCAAACAATTTATCATTAGCAGACCTAAAGTTGTCACAGATAGGTGTCCATCAAAACAGCCAGGTGTATAGACCCATTTAGAATAAAATAAATGATATCCAAGCCATCATTTTAGAATACATGATGTAAATGCAATATTATAAAACCTATTAGTATGACATACATGACATTATAATTATCCTGTCTTGGATGTCTAGCCAAAATGATTTTAAGATAAAATGATTGTGTTACATCTATTAAAAGAAATGGACATCATTAAATAGAGTGTATGAGTCAAGTCCTGAAGGCTTATTTCACATACTGTATCATAAAAGGTTTCTCCACTTTCGATATTGTGGTAAAAATTGTAGATGAGGAAACATTTTGAGATTACGTATCAGCTGATCTTTGAATACCAGGAAAGGTCAAGGTAACAGTAGTATGACATTAGTCCATATCTGTATTCATACAAACATGTTCATCAAAACATGTAAACAAGATTCTACTGGAGGGGAGGCGGGGCAATGTAATATTTTTAAATTCAATTATACTAGTGAAAGAAAGAGAAAAATCAGCTATGTTTCAGAAGGTGAAACAAGAGCTAAGAAGCTATGATTTGACAGCAAAGGTACCAAGCTATCCAAAGCCAATAACATCTGTATTTATTTTGTGAATTTATCATTATAGAACATTTCATGCAATCAACAATTTGTTTACATCCTATCACAATTTTTCCGTAAACATGGAAAAAACAAAAATGGAAATTGATATTTTTATGCTGATGATGAATTATTGTGCAAGAACTGAGACGAAAGTACCATCTGCCAAAATTAAGAATAAAGACATGTCAGTCAAGTAGTTTTGATATTAATTTGAGACGAAGCAACAAATTTGTTGAAAAGAAAACTTTTTTAAGGTGATTGATGGAGTCACTACATGTCAAGCTAGATAAACATCATGAAAGCGATTTCACAAATTTCTTGGAGCAGCTGTCAGGAAAATTAAATGAAAATGCTTTCAACAGAGCTATTTAATTAATTTTCATTGCTAGACAACCTTTGAAAGTAATAAGGTAGCCAACTTGTAATTACTTGTTATTGTTGAAGTTTTCATTGCTTTGAAACAATTATTTGAATTGGCATATTTTTCTTTTTGTCTTCAGGAAATAGTCCACATGAAAGTCCACGTAACATGTCCCCAAACCAGCATGGAAATTTCGCCTTCCACAACGTGAGGAAGTAAGTAGAATAGTATCCAGGAAGTGTCTGACAGAAGTTTTTTTTTTATTGTTCAATTTTCCTGGTTTGTTCTCCAGACTTTAAGTTTAATGACAACTTTTGAAAATAAGGACCATATCTGAAAAAAGTAAATGAGGGGAAAAAAACAAAAATGAAAAGAAAAACAGAAAATATAAAGAGTATCTCACCATGATGTCATTGTACAGTCAAATCATCTGTGAAGACCACCTGTATGTTACAAATACCTATCTATCAAGGCCACTTTTTATAATTCCCATTGTAGTACAAATCAGTAACACTGAACCTCTTTATAAAGGCCAGCTATCTGCAATGGCGTCTTTTCTTTGTTGCCTCAGGTGGCCTTTATAGACAGGTTTGATTTTTTGGAAATTTTTAAACAAGGTCATTAATTTGACGTGTCACAAACCTTTATGAAAGAATTAAATTTATATAATTCGAAGAATTTCAATGAATTTCTGATTTATTTGATAGGAAGAAAATATTCCATTAATCACAAAACTAATGTTTATGATAAATAGATAAAAATTATCTGATTAATTTAATCTGTCACGTAGTTGGACTTTTAATGAGGATTCACTAATGATCAGGTTTATCTCAAGAGAAATAAAAACTTGAAGCTACCAGTACAGCAAATGACATTTAAGTATAAACAGTTGTGGTCACAGGGAAAGAAAGAAAAAATGAGTGAAGGTAAAAGCAGATTTTTGATGAAAGGTTCTATGCAATTGTGATTTGTAACAAATATTGTAATATCATAAACTTTCAACAGCATTCTGTCCTTTTTAAGTCATTAGTCATTTTGTACAATGTAACAAACATTGTAGGCTTCAGATTCAGGATAATATTTTGTACAGTATTACAAACTTTGTAGACATCAGCTTCAGGATGATATTTTGTGCAGTATTACAAGCATTTGAAGGCTCCAGATTCAGGATGATTTTTGTACAGTATTACATGCCTTTGAAGGCTTCAGATTCAGGATGATTTTTGTACAGTATTACAAACTTTGTAGACATCAGCTTCAGGATGATATTTTGTGCAGTATTACAAGCATTTGAAGGCTCCAGATTCAGGATGATTTTTGTACAGTATTACATGCCTTTGAAGGCTTCAGATTCAGGATGATTTTTGTACAGTGTTACAAACATTGTAGACATCAGCTTCAGGATAATTTTTGTACAGTATTACAAGCATTTGAAGGCTCCAGATTCAGGATGATTTTTGTACAGTATTACATGCCTTTGAAGGCTTCAGATTCAGGATAAGAAAGTAGTTGACAGTGATTACAGTTAAGTTATCTTTGATTTGATGTTAAAATTGTTGTTATAACACAGATAAAGACAATCTGTTGATTTGTTATGTTAGGTGCGATGGAAGACGCTGGTCGTTTGCTTCTCTGCCGTCCTCGGGTTATGGGACCAACACCCCTGGAAGTTCAAATGTTTCGGTAAGTATATGTACCATTGGTGAAGAATCATCTAATGCTGAATGGATGATTGCTTGAGTTGTGTGAAGGGGGATGAAAAGCCTTTATGTGGGTACCTTAGACTGTCACATTTTGTAGTTCGAGAGTGATAAGAAAACATTAATTATGGTTTAGGGCTCTTGCTCTCCTGGTACTAATATAAAACGTGTTTGTTGCAGTCACAGTATTCCTCCCAAGAAAAGCTGAACCAGATAGCCTACCCTATGGGAGGTGACGAGCTCACACTTTTTACACGGAACCTCACCAGTGCTGATCATACAGTTGATGAGGATGGCGGCCACTCTCCAGTGTCTCCGCTGATGCGACCACGGTCGCGCAGTCTCAGGTACGGCCAAAATATTAAATGCCTTGAGCATAAAAATATTCACAAACGATGAAGTCCATAATATCAGGCAATCAGTGCGGCATATACTGTACTATTATAACACATAACAGTTGTGACCAATATATCCCATAGTTATGACCAGTGTTGTCCAAAGTCAGCAACTGATGAATCCTGCTTTATTCTTATCATAATCACTTTCAGTGTATTACTGAAAAAGTCAATATATCCATTAATAGTCAAGAAAGTTGTATTCTGTAATAGTAAAAAAAAAAACCAGTATGTTCAATAATTGTCAAGATTTTGGTGTAGTTCGTAATATTCATTAACAAAACACTCCATAATATTAATAAACATGTCCCAAGTTACAACCATGATTATAGCCCATGATTATTGTGACTTGACTATCCCATAGTCGTCATAGTTTATTGTAAATTTCCAAACCCTTCGATAAAGAAAAAATCCTGTAGTTTTCTCAACCCTGAATATTTTGATGCTATGTTAATGCTGTATTTAATATGTCTACTTTGTGGCTTTGATTTCACTCCATGATAACCTGTCTGCTGAAAGGCAAAAAGGCTGTAACAGCAGACGTAAAACCCTGTTAGATAGATAACTAAATACTCAGTGATATATGGGATGTGTATGTTCGTAGAAGACCTAGGATCAGGTTTAGTATCAATGTTGATGCTGATGTAATTTTACGCATCAGTTGGGTCATACTTTTGATCTCCGACCATAATAGGAATCTATGTTGAAATCACTTTGTGATGTATATTTCATTGTAATTAACACATAGGCACTTTCATCACTTGCTCAGGGCTTTCAGCATTATACTGTAATTATCTTTTAGTAAGCCCAGGGCAGATACACATAATATCTTACTTAATAGGGGGAGTGGGCTTATTACCAGACAGTGATCTAGTGCTTGCTGGCAATTCAGCAGAACTGAAATTGATATGGGTGAACTCATTACCATATATAAATACTATGAAAATATTGTATATCAGAAATAGAGTTCAATATGTGGTTGATGAATGTAAATAAAAAGTTAGCCATTTATTTATGCCTTTTCCAATGTATAAAAATAATCTGTAGGAGTGGCCATGGGTCATAAGTAGACCAAAGAGATGATTTCATCAGTTGTGTTTGAAAAAGGGAAGAAGGGTGTTAATTACATCAAATATTGTATATCACTTTATTGGTTACTATTGCTACAAGATGTCTCCTTAATTTGAGATTAAATAATTGTGACATGTCAGGTATTAATTACATATTAATTTGGTTTTAATAGAAACAGAACCTTATCACTTTTCATCAATAGTGAAGCAAATTTATCAGATTGTATTCCAGTATGAAAATTTGAAAATTAATCCAGAAACAGATTTAGTTGAATCTATGTGATACCATGATTTTGATTGAATATTTAAAGAAAAAACAACCTATCCTCATGATTCTGAAAACTCATTCATGGGAAGCTTTGTTTGCTATAGTTACTTTTTTTTTAAACATTTGTTTCGCTCTAATTTGCTAACAGATCAGTAGATATCAATGGAGAAGTTGACTTTTGTGTAAAAAAAACTGTGATATGTCATAGAAGAAATTTTACATGGTCTATTGTTTTGTTTGTGACATATACCCTTGTACAGATGTTTTTATCACATAACTGGCTTGTGTGATTTCGTCTAATACATGTCATCAAAAGTTGTCCCTGATTAGAATGTCTTTATTTCAAATTCCTGGAAATTATAACAAGATTTTTGCTACCATGATAACATTCTTCATTACACGTCTGTTTGAATGTAATGATGTATGTCAAAAAAGAAAAAAAGACAAGCAGTTTTGTTTGCTGTGCTCCAACTCTTTTTGCAAAGAATGTTGATTGGTGCAGTTTCATGTTGATTTTGGTTATGTCATGTTTGTTGCCAAAATGTGCTTCAGTGTATGTATTTATGTACATAAACTTACACTGGAGGGTTGGTTTTTAATGCTACACTTAACATGATTGCTTGATAAAAGGTGCATGTATTTAATTCATATTAAAATAAGTTTAGTTCAGATTGCATAATTGATCTGTCTGAGTTTTGTCCAATGAACTTTATATGTCATTGCTACTTGTGTATCAGACAAAGTGAAGACAGCTTTAAAATTACTTAATCTAGTAAAGATTTCTGTAGGTTGTATTCTGTACATCTGTCTAATGATCAGTGAATCAGTAACTTTATCATCATCATATACAGTGTACTTTTAGCTTCTAAAATTGACATACTTTGTATGCAAGTATACACCTCGGAATAAGTTGTGTCCTGAAATACAGTCCCGTGCTCCAATTTGTATAGACTCCAAGTCATTCCAGCCCTGTTGTATATAATAACGCTATTGCTGAGCTTTGTAAATTATAGTCTTTTGTGCTATTTAACTTAATATGAAGCTGATATCTTAAGCATTTGCAGAGTTGTGGCCCTTTATTTCATACTGAAGTTTGTCATGAGATATACCTATCTGAATCATGTATCTTAAATATATACAGATTCCAACATTATTTTTTGATACTTATTTATTTATTAACCTATTTATTCATTAATTGATTTTTGTTATATATTTTGTTTTGTCAAACTTGTATGTTAATGTTCTGATTTGTATGTTTCAACATTTTTGAATCTTTAGAAAATTGCCTTGTTTTGGACATCTCACAGGATTTAATGTGGATATGTTCACTGTGTCAGATTGATTTATTGGTAACAGAAGTTATCATGTTTCTTTACTTCATTCTAATGTTAATGGAAAAAAGTCCTGACAACCACATCAACTTAAGATTGACAGATCTATATTAATATGCTTTGGATATAGTACATACATATTATATTTCACACTTGGAAAACATTTGTAATAAATCATCTCTCTGTTTACATGGAAAACAGGATATGGACGCTTGCTAATTTTTGACAGTTTGAAGTATTTTTATGAGTATATGTGTATTCTTGACTGATCTGGGCGAGCTGTGAAGAGTTCTCCAGTTATTGTACAACTTTTCTGAGAACCAAATAAAAAAAAGAATATACTTATACATGTATATACCAGCAGTGTCAATCATAAGGAATTCGGAACACAACAAATTGTGCCAAAGTAGAGAAATTTGGCAAAGCTGTGAAAATATTTCAGTAATTTGCATTCATATCTACGTATAGCATTTGTGAAAGATTTTGTTACCGGTGTATATTGTATTGTCAGCTTAAGACCAAACATCACAAACGAACAAAAAAGTAAAAAAAAAAAAAAAAAGAAAGTAAAAAAATTGCAAATATTTTCATGCATGTTTTAGGCCAGATGGAAATGGTTGTAAATACAAGCATTTGAAGTGACAACTGAATGATGCAAAGTTAACAGAACATTGTTATGTTTTAAATTGAATTGATAAAGAGGGAATTTTCAACAGACTGAGATATACTTACTAATAATCAATTTCAATTAGTCTTTCAGTATAAGAAAAAATACTTTAATATAAATGTGAATTCAATATGTTGTGATTGTCATATCTTGTTAAAAAGATTTTTTTAAAGATTTACAATTCATTAAGATTTAATGTCAGTTACGTTTTTGTCCCTTTGTACATTTGTATGAGTTATTAATCACTAATCTATATGCTGATTCTGTTTTTACCTGCTGTCGTTGCTTTGGTGAGCAGTTTGTCCTGGCTAGCGTTAGAGTAAGATTGATTTCATTCTATCACACATTTCATATCTTTTATTCCTGTATGTATATATATATATCTATGTAGATGTGCACTTCCTACTGTTTATTTGTCTCATTGTACTCATATGATGCCAATAGTTTGGTAGGATGTGCAAGTTTCTGATTGTTAATTATCTAAAACTGAGCAGAGTCTTGGACTTCTGTCTGAACAGTAGACACACCAACACATACAGTTTGTACCAAATTGTGGAGATTGGACTTTCGACATGAAATATTTCAAAAATATGATTCAAATAAGGAATAAAATAAATTGTAGATTTTTATTTATCAGAAAGTCCTTTATTGTTTAAAAGGAAAGTTGATATTCTTCAATGAAGTAAAACTGCCACTGTTAAGCTTAGGAAATTGAAAATTCACATAGTTTCTGGAGGATGTCTGAACACTATATTAGCTAAAACCTATTTGTACACCTAGTGTTACAATAACACGTCTTCAGCTTTTCATGTCGTGTCATTTTGCTATTTCAGATAGTCTATTTATCATTTTGTAATTGATTTTCTTACTATTATTTTGCATCATATTTTGATGAAATTTGACACACATCTTGAGGAGTTTAAAGTGTTTCTGTTGGTTTATGTTTATTATATAATTATCCATATTGAAGATTTTCAGTCATAGTGTGTTCATTAACTTAAATCATTTTCATCACTAGATGTAATATTGTGTTCTACAGGAAATGATAGGCAGTGAAGTTTTGTTGTTAATACCTTACAAACAAATATCACCATTAATCAGCTGTAGACAACTCTCTAAAATGCTCAAAATTATATTGTCAAATAAAAAAAATGAGAAAATTTACAAAAATAAATTCAAATAACAGCCAGTTGGAAAGTGATTGAAACATGAACAACTATACAGATATTGTCCGTGTGTATATATTTGTTGACATTGTAGTTTGTCGTTGGTAGATATTTGGTAGTATTATAAGTATTGTACAGTGTATATAATCAACAGTTACCACCTGTATCAACACATTGTTTATAATACAACAGATTGTGATACTGAATTTCTAAATTCTAAATTTGATTTTTCATTTTAATGCAGAAATCAAGAGATCATTTTGTGCAGTTGTCATTTGCAATAAATATTTCATTGTGTTTAGTTATCATTTTAATTGATATTTTAGTATATCATTTTTAGAACTTTGACATAGAATTGTGTACATTTATTAAAACAAGGCCTATTAAAGATAGAGACAGATAGTACATGTTAGCAATGATTAAAAAACAGGTTTTTAAGCATCTTACTGTACAATCATAAATTTTAGTGAGGCTCAAGTTTTGTGGTTTGTGAAAGAAATTTTCATCAACACTCTATTCCAGGGATAAATATGTCTTTGATAAAACTGTTTACACTTTTCTACTGTATGCAATTTTAACAGTTAATGGACATATTAATTGTTTTATTATGGGAACCTACAAAATGAAGGAAAATTAAACCCTCTCGAAAATTAATGATTTCACAGTATTGAAGACTGAAGTTAAAACCTTATAAAGAATTCTGTGTAACACATGAAAGATTTTAACTTGAGGTTTAATACATTATGATAAAGGTTGTACTTACGGATTAAGTATATCATTAAAATTGGATCCGTTTACCAATATTGATTGGCAATAGAATAAGAGTTATGTTTACTTAAAATATAATTTGAGTTTGACTTGATTCTGAACTAAAGGGAATAAGTGAATCCTTTTGAGCAGGATAGTGTAGTGCTAAATATTAGCATGGCTTCTTGTCCACATTATGTGCATGGCCAGTTCCTTGTATGCATTCTCCTTGTTCACTTTTTGTTGAGTTGATGATTCAAGGAAGGTGAAACTAAAATTGTGCATTATTTATCTATACTACAGGCTTATTGCCTGCTATTTCAGCCTTTCTGCCTTTCAACAAGTCACAATTGTACATAAATGATCACAATTCAACATTAGGGGTACATAGATCCTGTCATTTTTCCATTGTTAGGTATGAACGATCACAAATGTAGCCATTCAATATCCGATTTCTTGTATGTGTTTTGCAGATTTCATCAGAAATGTTTTGAAAACCTTATTAGGAGTCTGTCCACTGGCCAACTGCATATTTTGTGATTGTATTTTGATTCTGAACGCAGAACAGGCCTACTACACCTATTTTAATTGCAGTGTGATAATGATCTTGAAGTAATGTGTAGACTTACCAATTGTCTTGCTATTTCATTAATTTATGTATATGTATGTAGATTGTGGGGTGGTGAGGCTTCTCCAGGTTTATAGTGCAAAGCCTACTGCTTTTCTGTGAAAGGTGCTGTTGGGCTCTGTCAGGGAAAATAATACAGACCTATAGAGCCTGTTGTGTTATTAACCTGGAATGTACACAGGTGATGATGATTGTTATTTTCATTTTACAGTAGTCCTGGTCGCTCTCCTGGTGGAGATGAAATCATTATGATGAACAGCGTCTACAAGGAACGATTCCCCAAGGTAATGATTCTCCTATAATCCTACATAATCCAACACAAACTAGTCATCTTCTGTACTTTTTCTGTTGGCGACTAATGATCATTATGCCAAGATGTATTTGTTGATGTACATAAATTTTTGGAAATACTTTAAAGGATATTACTCTCATGACAGTTGAGGGATTACTGATGAATACAGCTTCTGATATGAAATTCTTGAATATGAAATTTCTGTTTCTCATTATATCTATAGCACTGCGTTAAAGGGATATAACTTTTACTTTCTGATTTGGATTAATGATTGTGACAGATACTACAAATATCATGAATGTATTAACAACACTATGATAAGGGGGAGATAATTTGAAATTTCCTAATTGTAATTACTGATGGCGACAGATTATTACAGCATAAGATTCTTGTTTATGTATTTGCCTGTGTCATATAATCTCCAAATTTCACATCGTTATCTTAAGGGGAGATAATTCTAAGTTGTTGATTAAGATTACTGATACACAGAGTTCCTTGTTTATGTCATTATGACATTTTGTAGAAGTTGAGATAACCCTGTTAATGAATTTATTTTTCTGACAGGCTACCGCACAGATGGAAGAGAAACTAAACAACTTTATAGAACAGAATAAGGTGTTGCCGACAGAACAGGAGGGTGATGCAATCACACGCTTCCTTCACCACCAAGTGATGGAGCTGGCACGTGATTGTCTCACCCAGTCACGTGACAAACTCATCACACGCTCATACTTTTTCGATCTCTCAGACAAACTTGAGAAACTTATTGAAGATGTGAGTTGTTTTTGCATTCTTTTTGAGATTGTAGTGAGAATTATAGTGAAATTATAGGATTTTTACATCGGCTAAACACAGTTATTGCTTTGAATTTATTGGGGTAAAAATACCTTTTCTTTGAAATGAAGATAAGATTTGTCATTATCAAAAGAGTCACACCATGAAAAAGTTGTCATCTGAGACAAAGGCAAGGAGAGTGATATTCTAAGGGATGGCAGCCTCACTGTCATTCTCTAAAATATAGTTGGGAAGGGATTTTTCATGGATTTAAGGATAAATAGGGATGTGACGGAAGGTATTGACCAGTAAGAATAATAGATTAAATGATGTTATCCAGGCGGAGGAGCGAGAGTTTGTGGCGTACAACTACATTTATCCACTGGTGAAGAAGTTACTTCTCATCCTGTCTCGTCCAATCCGTCTACTTGAATGTCTGGTGAGTACAACACAAAGTGCTGGTCATTTATAATGAAACATCTTAATCTTCTTTTAGTCTCAACAACTTTGTGTAAGGGTCACGGAGTGTTTAGTACTCTGTTTGTCTGTATATTTTCAAATACGCAATGTATGTCTTCATGACCTAATAGATAAAAGGTTTACCTCCATCATTCTCGAAAAGTCCATCAATCGTCGAACTTCACCTATATGGACACATATAGACTGCATCAACATGTCACATGTAAGTCACTGTGACCTTTGTGCTTGCTTCACTTGCCTTAAACATTGCATCTGGCTTCTTCTCTTTGATTAAACTTTGCTTTTCCATCTAGTTGGAAGACAAGAGGCATTATCTATTTACAAATATTAGATGAAGTTAGTATAACAGAAAATCTGTGTGATTGTGTATACATGATATCTCATCATAAATGCCATGATGATCTTTGTTCTGTTTTTAAAATGTAGGAACATTTGTTATTTGACTTCATTCTTGTTCTGTTTGTATTTATGCAGGAATTTGACCCTGAACAGTTCTACCAGTTATTGGAGGCTGCAGAAGGGCAGGCCAAGCAGACCATCAAAGCGGACATACCTCAGTATATTATCAACAAGTTAGGACTCAATAGAGACCCACTGGAAGGTAAGTGTTTAGTACATCTTCATGCATCTTGGCTCTTTAGAGAAGGAAGTCTTTTGTCCAACCTTCTAAATTACATTAGGGCTTTATAGATAATACTTATATGGAAATGTTTTCAGATTGATGTTCAGGGCTGTAGGGGCTCAACTCCCCTAAAGCTGTCAAATTTTCTGAAGAAATCATTCTGGGAGGTTAGCCTATCCTCCTTAATAGCTACTACAAATGTTAAAGGTGATACAGAATACCCCAAAATTATTTCATTCTTTGCTGAGTAGATACAGACTCAAACAGGAGTCTTTCTTGAGATGGACAGCCTCATGTGAAGATTGTCATGTTTTCAAAGTTAAAGATATGTGGAATTGATGAAATGAATATTTATGTCGATTTTAGAAAATATGAAATTATTTCAGGATCATGTAACTTCCAACATCATGTGACCTCATATATTAATGCATATATTATTATATATATATATATATATCATTGATAATGCTTCCATAATCACATAACCTTACATATAATGTCACTTTCACAGAGATGGGGATTGGGATGGACGACCAAGACGATTCAGTGGAAGCTGATGAAGAGTTTATGGAGGTTAGTTCTGTCAGACTTTTGAACCATTTAAAACCATAAATCAGAAACAAAAAAAATTGTAGACCACCAGGATAAATGATCAATTTCCTTTTACAAGTTCTATCAGCTTTGTGTTAAAAATTGTGCTGAATAACTTCAGAGTAAAGTTCACAATCTTTTATGTCTTTTTAGAGAAGAGATTATGTGCCAAAGTTCAAGACGCCTCGTGAGGAGGATTTTGAGACAATCAAATTGATTAGCAATGGTGCTTATGCGTAAGTATATATATGGAATTTGATGTTTAGTGATACTTTTAAGCCTTGGCTACTTATTCATTATATGTTCATTATATTTTTAAACAAAGTTATCTTTATAAATTAAAGTCTAGGTATCATCAACCAGGACAAGGTTACTGGGAAAACATTTCTTCTCAGATTTAGGTATATTGAAATCTTCAAATGTGCTTTTGATATAGCTTTACTCAATTGACATGGTAAAATAGTTCAAAATCTGTGATAAAAGAAAAACCTTAAAGTTCTGAAAATGTATTTTTACTCTGACAGAGCGGTATACTTAGTACGTCACAAAGACAGTCGCCAGCGGTTCGCCATGAAGAAGATTTGTAAACAGAATCTAGTCTTACGAAATCAAACAGAACAGGTATACACAGAGCGCGACATTCTAAGCTTTACAGAAAACCCGTTTGTCGTCAGCATGTACTGCAGCTTCGACACCAAGGTAAGTCTGGTTTATTTGTTATTAGCTGATATTCATTCAATATTCTGAGGTTTAAAACAGTTTTCTGACTTCTTCTGCATCAAGATATGAATTTGTAACTTTGTATTGTTGTCAAGACTTCTTTCCAAATCCTGAAGGCCAGAATTTCTAATATTCATATATAGATACACTGTAGTATATAGATACAATGATTTTTTTCTTGTGTCAGTCCACTATTCTCAGGGTCATTTGAACCAGAAGTTGAGACTGAGTTTAAATTTTATGTCCCTCTATTGTAACTCGAGGGTCGGCCTCAGTGTTTTTGTTCAGACACAAGGCCAGATTTTCTGAATGTCTTCATGCTTGATAAGAAACCATTCATTTTTTTTTTATGTTTGACAGTAGTAATTAAGTTTTGTTTCATTTGATTGTGTTATAGAAACACTTGTGTATGGTGATGGAGTATGTGGAGGGTGGCGACTGTGCAAACTTAGTGAAGAAGTGGGGGCCTCTTCCCTTTGACTTGGCAAGGTTAGTTTCCATCCCTGATCAATGTTAAGAAAAAAACTGCTTGGTTAAATTAAGTAGTTTTCGTGGTGATCTATTTAAGAAGACTTTGCTTTCTGTTAAACATGGGATCATCACATATTTGTATCTTTATTTAAATTCAACAGAAAGAAATCTTGCTTTATTCAAAGACATACTTTATAAAAGATTGTATATCTCAATATCTGTACAGTATGTTTCAGGTGCAGATAGGAAAAGTTTCATAAAACCTTAAAAAATTAAGAACGTTTTTTTTTCTGTTTATGGTTGTCCCAATCTTGCTCAGTAATTGATAGAAGAAATGATCTGTTTTGTTTTGAACAGGATGTACTTTGCAGAAACAGTGCTAGCATTGGAGTATCTCCATAGTTATGGTATTGTCCACAGAGATCTCAAACCAGACAAGTAAGTATATTGCTGTGTGTACATTGGGTACATGTACATGTGATATCCTGATTGTGTGCAGATGTGAGCTCAATGTTTGAGCTGCTGTAATAAGCCCACCTTTTCATTTTCACTATGAACCAGTCTTCTTTCATTGCCCTGTAATAAGCTCGCCCCCTTGTTTGAGTAAGAAGTAATGTGCTGGCCTGAGGGTTTATCGCAGAATAAATACAATGTATTAATTTCTGTAATACTTCTGCACGTTTAACTTAAAAGCATAATTTTATAAATGTTTCAGCATTTTAAATTTTTTTCATTTTTTTTCAGCCTTTTAATCACAGCTACAGGTCATATCAAGCTGACTGACTTTGGTCTTTCTAAAATTGGACTCATGAGTTGTAAGTTTTTCATCTTCTATGTGGACAAAATATTGAAATTGATCTGATGGATCAAAAGGTTGTAATGCTGAATACATAGCTGGACATAGTGAAACTTAATAGTAACCATTTCTTGGCCCTGAATACTGATAAGACACATTAAGGACCATGTGAGATAATCAATATAATTGCATTTGTTTACTGCTATATAGTTACTCCATAATGAATAATAGAGAATGTGTAACCATTCACATATCATTCTTTAGAAAATCCATGATTGTTTTTAAAAAACTGAGATAACACTGTGCACATATGTAAATAATATATATGTATTTCTTTTTCAGTACATGATGAACATTTTGTCTTTTCCAAACTTAATAGATGTAGCTTTGTAAACTTTGAAAAATCAAGACATTGGTGTCATTCTTTCAAACATCTTTAGTAATGCTCTTTAATTGAAATGAGAGAATTTCCTTTCTTCACTTGACTGAATATTAATGAAACTTTGAGCTCAACTGTTGTTATAGTAAAGGATGTGAGATAAAGGTAAAGAACGTTAAACTGGCCATTAGGAAGTATAGACTTGAATGTTTGATGGACAGGAGGATTTTTTATTTCAGTGACCACCAATTTGTATGAGGGTTCACTTGATAAGGACTGTAAGCAGTTCCGTGACAAGCAGTTATTTGGAACGCCAGAGTACATTGCACCAGAGGTCATCCTCCGACAGGGCTATGGTAAGTCATGTACATCCTGATTGTATCATTGAAGTGTGAAAAAAAATTCCTGCACTTTATCAGCTTTTATTTCTGCTTGTCAAACGTATGTCCAGTCATCCTTTATTTCTCCTTTTTTTTTCTTTTTAATTTTAGATTTACTTTATAACCCATTTAAGATAACTTCTTGATGAAATAGCATTGTGATTTATTTTGTTCACATTATAGAAGAAAGTTTAGTGAACTCCAAAGGATCTAATTTTTAGTGAGAAATTAAAGATATTGAAATTTTACTTATATTTGCTGCATTTAGTACGAAATTTGGTGGTTTTTTTTAAATCATGTAGAAACATCTGAATTCCTTTTAATTTTTGCTTCATATTTCATTTCAAATAATTCAAGGTAGACAACTCTTTTCTTTAGGATCTTATAATATCTGCATTAGTGCTTAAAAAAATTTTTTGTATTTTAAAATGTCTGCGATGAATGGTTCCAGAAAAATTGTACTGTCTTAAACAAGACTTGTGGTTTAAATTTATTGCTTTGATTTCAATAATTTTTTTTTTCATTCACTGTTTTATACACAATGTAATACTGTAGTAATATTTTGGTAGAGGTGAGATGTAAGTTATTTACCTTGTAAATATTCTGTTATTAATATGTTGGCCGTGTAGAACATAGGTTGTGGTCTCTCTTAACGTTAATAAATGCAATTTTCCACCAAGAAGTCCATTCCTGGTAGTAAGCCCCCATTTCCTACTGCTGTTCTTTGAGTCAAAGGTAATGTGTTGGCCGTTTAGGCTTACAGAATGAAAATGGTCCCAGTTTCCCAATTTATACTGTTTTGCATGGTATGACTGTTTGATGTTGGCTCTCTTATGTTCCTAATCATATTTACTTTACATGACTTCACATGATATCATGCGGCTGTCTATCTGTTACAGGTAAACCTGTGGACTGGTGGTCAATGGGGATCATCCTGTATGAGTTCCTGGTCGGGTGTCCACCATTCTTTGGAGAATCTCCTGAGGAACTCTTCTCACAAGTCATTAATGGTAGGTTCAAATTTAACTTGAAATTTTGAATCTCAAAATAGTTGTGTTAATTTGTAGTAGTGATGGATGGCAATTGATAGGTCTTATAGAACGTAGTGTTAACAAGATGTGATGTACATAAAGGTTTTAGTTAAAACATCTCTTATAGGTATTTCATCATAGATATGAAACCTGTAGGTTTTCAGAAGTAAATCTTCCTGCTTACTAAAATTTTGTATTTATGAAACCTGAAACTGTGAAGACCTTGTAGTAATTTCAATAAGATTATGTGGATACTTGATTAATTTCTTCAAGTACAACAACCTCATATAAAAATGGTCTTATTTTGTTTTTCACACCTGCAACTTTAGATTTTAAGGAGATTTTGTTCTTTTATTCCATTGACATAAGATCTTTGACTTTAAACTTTGAACCTTGACCTTTGTAGAGGAAATTGAGTGGCCCCAGGAGGAGGAATGGCAGGTGCGTGATGACGCTCGTGACCTTATCACCCAGCTGCTGCAGCACAACTCGCTCAACCGTCTGGGGACAGGTGGCGCCAATGAAGTCAAGGAGCATATATTCTTCTCAGATGTTGACTGGGAGAGAATCCTTCGGAAAAAGGCAGAGTTTGTGCCGGAACTGGAGGATGAGGAGGATACAAGCTTCTTTGACAGTAAGTGGACATGCAATTTAAACACTGACTTTTTGTTTAAGTATTATTGTCACAGAAGATTTGACCTGGGCTGTGATGCTGAATGTTGTACCTTATCTGAAAATTTCTTGTAAATGTGACAGTGTGATCAGCAATCAGATGTAGAATTAGGTTAAAATTCAGTTTTCTTAAAAATTAATTTCTCACCAATAAGGGTTAATTAATCACAAAACCTTCATTTTTGTCAAAATTATGCATATCTTAAATTTCACATTCCAGCACGGATGGATCGTTATAACCATGACTTAGATGCAGACGACACAGAAGATGATGGCGATGATGTGTTATTTCAGAGCTTTTCTTCTTGTTCTCCTCGTTACAGCAAAGTCTACTCCAAAATAGAAGAGCTACATGAAGTAAGTGGCTTTGTTCAGTACTTTTGTCCCTGTACTAGCGATGAAGGGGGTTTGATACCTGGATCTCCATACTGTAACTACTAGCAAATCAAGATATTTTGGATGTCACTTTCCTTACTGATCAGCCATTATAGAAATTTGTGCAGCTATAAAGTGCAGTACAACTGAATTTGAAAGTAAATACATTTCTTTTTTTATTTTTCATGAAAAAAGTAAGATTTTTTTAAAAAAAAAAGGGGGGAAATATAAAAAAAAACGACCTTTACAGACTGTATGTTGTTACTGGTATAAGTTACTGTATATTCTAAGTATACAAAAGTATACAGCATAAGTGTTCATGTATAGGTCATTTTCCTTAAGGAATAGTTCTAAAATGATTGTCTTGCTATAGCAGAGCAAGGAAAAAGAGAATCGGCGTCGACATTCCAGTGCAGATGAGATGCGCACCAGACTACTGGAGAAACAGGCTTTAGATAGAAAAGATTCCAACCAATCAGAGGGCTCCGATTCCTCAAGTGAGATCCAAGGTTACCTCCGTCGCGACACCAGTAGCACACTTGTTGACACTTTGGATCGTAATGATGGTTCTATGAAGCTTGATGAGGATGTGTTTAGCTCACCAGAAAGGTACATGTTTGGTTACTCATTTACCACAGATAATTGGTAAACCTTTTTTATTTAACAGTAAACCATTGTCTGGTTATTAACCCACTTATTGTATCATCATCCTGATTTTAGCCAACACCATGAAATATTGTGACTACATGCTTCGCTCATTGTTCTGTCATTATCCTGTCATTATCCCCACCCCGTATTGGAATAAACTGTGGGCCTGGTATAATTGCATTAAATCATCTGAGGAGTTTATGTTTGTTGAGTTTTCAGTTGATAGGTCAGATTGAATTAGTGTATCTATCATAAATACCTCAATAGATGTTGGAAAGTTATTTCCGAAAATTACTTAAATGGACAGGAATGTGGCGTTGATGTTCCTTCCTCATACTGTATCACTAAGCATAGGTGGAAACTGGTAGACATCAATCTAATTCAATGTCTATCCACCAGATCAAGGACTATGAAGTTGACCGTTGAAACACATAATTTATACATTTAACTGAGTTTCATGCTACTTGGAAGACAGAAATATTGAATATTACACTTGTGTTAAAGAACATTCATTGTCTCTTTTTGCTAGTATCATTAAATTTTATTGGAAATTCCGTTCAAATTTGGTGTTTGTTTAACAGCACACCCCGCTCACAACCTAAGACCAGCACACCAGAGAGTGCAGAGAGAGATGACTCCAGCTCAAAGAAACAAGAAATCCGCCCACCAGTTATCAAAAGCATCATTCCCAAATTTGCCATTTCAACAGACGATGACAAGGGGCAAGGAATATGCAAAGGTATTTACAAGTTCTGGGCTAAGTAGCCTAGTTTCTCCATGTTTGGATGTAAGGTAGTGAGCCCTGGTTGATCAGATTATATAAATACTGGTTTTGAAAACCATAACATCAGGCTGTCTGCCCTTGTTACATTAACTCTGATCCAACTTAACATACTGGCAAAAATTTCTTTGCTTTACCATACATGGCTCAAAATATCTTAATCACCTTTATTATTTGAAACCCTGTCATTGCAGTATGAAAGGAGTTTGTCGCTTGTATTACAGGCAGTGTTTTTGCTGATGATATGCAATTAAAATTAGCAAATGTTAAACTTCATGCAGAGGACTAATTGAAGTTGTTGATGTAATTGTCTTAGTTAAAGCTGTTCCACATGACCTTTGTTGATATGGCTGTTTTTATTCACTCTGCTGATGTCGGGTTTAACAAAGAGATGACTCCATAAAATTGATGTTGATGTATATGATACCATTAAAATGATGTTTATTTACTCCATTGCACTGATGTAACTCCATCAAACTGATGTGTTTGACTCAACAGATGTATTTTCAGAGTTGTCACCAGTAGATGAGAACAAGGAGAAGGGGAATGTGACACTGCCCACTACCAGTGGAGGACGGAAACACCTACAGAAGTCTGCCTCAACCACAGCACTTACACTTCTCATACAACCCACAGGTCTGTATCCCTGGTACACTCTACAACTTGTATTATACATTATAAAGATCCATTGACTGAAGCAACAGTGTAAAGGAAACTTGATATACACTGCTTTACAATAATCATGAGTATAACATTCAGTAGTAGTTATTAGTTTTTAAAGAATGGAACTGGATTTGAATCAGAATTAACGCAAAATAAAATGAAACTGTGCTGTAGGTTTGAATTAAATATCCTTGTTCAAAGTGTCATGTTAATGGGGATTCCTATCTAACAAGATATTTTTATGTACATGATAATTTTGTGATCGTTATTAATTTTTGTACCTGGTAAATTGCGTTATATTTTAAGGTTTCATGGAATATCAGTGTTTATAGGACTACCTAAAAGTTCATTTTTTCAATCTTTTTATGTGTTTTGCAGATGACTTTATGGCTGCACCAGTGACCTCCCCAGGATCAAGCACAAGTTCTCGGGATGGTTCTCCATCAAGGGATGTCTCACCACTTGCACGTAATCTCAAACCACCAACCATCATCAAGAGAGGAGCACGTGGCTTTGGGTTCAACATACACACAATTCGTGTTTACCAGGGTGACACTGATGTCTACACCCTTCAACACATTGTCGTGGTGAGTGTGAATAAATGTATAAAGGAAACCCATTTTCATTTCATATGTCCCGATCTTTTGTGGTTAGATATGGTTAGGTAGTGCTCGGTAGAATTTAGACCGACCGGACCACAAAAGATATTTGACACATACAGTATTCGACTCAAAAGTGTTTGAACCATACATGTTTAATCTACTGAGATAAAGAAAATAAATAAACAGGACAGAACAAAACATGTGACTTGTACAATGTATTTGATTCGAACATGATCCACACAAGTGAGGTTTACTGTACATACAGGATCTTAACACATCCAAAATGAAAATTTTGTGGAACGTGTCATAAATCATTTATGAAAAGGAAAAGAATTCAAGATCCTTTTATCATGTGATAAATTAGCTTAGTTAATATTGCAGAGAATAATCATTTCCATGTAAACTTTGAAGTTGTCACTGCTCTTTATCATGTGGTGTGCATTATGATGTTATATTGCATCAAAGAAAAGGTGACATAATGTCATTATCTTATTCCTGACAACAGTCTTAAGAATTTTACATGAACCACCCACTTGCTAAAATGAAAAAAACTGTGACAAGTGTCAAAGATCACATGAAAAACAAAACCCAAAGAGGTTGTCACTTAAAGAATTTTAAAAATGTAACCAAAAAAAAAAAAAAAAAATGAAAACAAAAGAAATTGCAATTTAAAATCATTTTGGTTTGATTATTTGATAGGGTTTCAATGGTATATGTTATTTGTTTTTTCAGAGTGTTGAACAGAACAGTCCAGCATTTGAGGTAGGATTAAGACCAGGTGATTTGATCACCCATGTTAATGATGAACCAATCCAAAGTCTACTCCATACACAAGTGATCCACCTGATCCTGAAGGGTGGAAATGTTGTCCACATCCGCACCATCCCAATGGAAAGTACCACCATCAAGACAGTACAGAGCAAGCGGCGTAGCCACCCAGGCAAAATGGCTCGTCGTTCTAGTCAACGCAAACGACAGGAGCGCAAAGGGGAGAAAAAGAAGGGTCGGTCCTTGCTACGGCGTCTCAGTTCCAAGAAGACTGAGCACCACATCCTGCCAAGCTCACCTCTGACCTCATCGCGATCCTATTCCTCCAGTACTTTCAGTAAGTCCTGGTCTTGTGGTGACAGTACTCCAGGATCTGGGAAGGCCAATCGATCATTACCTATTTCCATGCCATGGTCACCAGATTCATCTGCAGCCAACTCATCCACTAGTTCATCACCAAGCTCTTCAGCCCCAAATTCCCCTGCAAGTTCCTCTCAGTTTTGTCGACCAAGCTCTCTACATGGACTCAAGCACAAACGTGCACAGAGCCTTAAATCTCCACATCGTCGTAAGTCAGTGCATAACATCCCCTTGTCTCCACTAGCTCGAACGCCCTCACCTTCTCCAATGCCACCTGCTTCTCCAACACGAAGTCCTAGTCCTCTTGCTCTCGCCCACGGGCACCAGATTGGCAGCTCTAACATGGTTCAGCAAACTATACCATCTCACCTCAACTCATCAACACAGGCTCAAGCTACAACACCCGTTGCAAGAAAGCCGTCATTTACACGTCCCAAAAGCTGCGAACCTGGTTCTCCTTTACTACGCCGAGCTTTATCACCTGACAGGCTACACCCAAATTCAGCAGAGAAAGTCACATCTGTGCAAAGGAAGGCTTCACTACAAGAAAAAAAGAGTGGTCTCTCTGACGCGCTATGACATAAATGTTGTGATTACTCTTGCGTCAAAGGAATTAATTAATTAAGGGCTCAACTGCAATCTTTGTGTTTGATGCGATGTTCTTTTTTGGCCTCACCAGAGCATCAGGAATGTATCAGTGATGGTTGAAAATGTTATGCTTGATTTGACTTCGGTCATCAGGCAGACAGAAATGTCTGTGATGTGCTCAATGTGACCTACAGAGAAGGACGTGGGATTCCCTGTATACGCTTAATTTGGTCCTTTGCGGGCAGCATGTAACCTTTCAGGAGGGTTTATTACTACAATATGCCTGCAACATTTTTTGAAATAGTTGCTTTTTCAGTGTGCTCATGTTTAGGTGTTCAATAAAGTTGTCTTGTTTACAGATTTAACTTGGTGCTGTGTGTGAGGGGAAGGCTTTTCAAGAGTAATATTTCATACCATCTGAAAAAATAATGGAATGTTATGACTGGCATTTTACACACACATGACAAAGATGGTTATGTAAGGATTGATATGTAGCCCTGCTTGAGGAACTGTCAGATATAATTGTTTCTCATACATATCTTCAACAGTCCTGATTGGAACTAAAGCATTTACTTCAAGATGTAACATAACGAGTATGCATTAACAAATTGAAAGGCAAAGAATATTTCATTATATATCTTACGCTAAAGTGTTAGTGCTAGATAGTCTAAAAATAATGGTGTAAAACATACACATGTGATAACAAGCCAGCAATTTCTTATAACAGTATCCGTTATCTGTTGAAATTATCTAAATATATATATACCTGGTATATATGTGTGTAATATCTATCTATGTAGCACCAACTCACATGTTCCAGGAACAGAAATTGTAAATTATTACTCATAGATTGTTTTTCATCGTTTACCAGATGTGTGTCATGTGATATTATTAGCATATGTTTGTGTTAATTATTAGCATCTTGCCTGTGATTCAATTTGTACTACTATGTGCTTTCATCAGTGTCCACGACAGGACAAGTCAGTATGTCGGACGATTGATAGGGAATGTCACCAATGTGACTAGCTGTTGGAGACTTCATTGTGACATGACGATAGAATGGCAAGCTTATATATAGACATAGAAAAGAAACTAGAAGAATACTCAACTGTTTTGCAAATTTTAATATTGTTATTTTGAATATCATTTTACATTGATATTGTTCCATCTGATCATTGTCATATTCCAGCAATTTCATTTCAGTCATTCTTGTTCAAATCCTTGTCTGGCTAAGTAAGATATTTCTGCTGGTGAGATATTTCTGAAAAATACAGTAAATCTGGTAAGGGGGACATCAATCTAAAACATTGTCAGAAATTGAATGAACGTATTCATTAAACCCCTCACCCCAATTATATGTAGATGTTATCTCATTGCTCATCGTGAATGTCCAGTTTGACCACTCAAATTGCATGCTGATGATATATATATATATATATATATATTGATATATAGCTAATGTCATATTCCAAAATGAGGCAATGTGAGGAAGAAGTTGACATCCTTTCCTTATCCACCGATTATCCCAGCACTGTTTGACATCTCTTTTTTTCTTTTCTTTTTTTTTTTTTTTTGTTTGTTAGAAATGCCTTCATATAGGACACCATATTGTCTGCAATAACAACTTAATCCACATCCGTGTAGTCAGCTGTTTTTAAGCTTTGGTGGCACATATATTGTAAATATATTATAATCATTGGTTGAAAAATTGTGAATTCTATGTTTTTTGATTTATTACTGTTTGGCTATCCCTCAGCAAAGGTGGACCACATTTCACTATAAGGACATGTGCCGTATCTGTTCATGCAGAATTTGGGCAGAAAAAAAATAGCTTCACTGTAAAATCCCTTGAATGAAATTTGTGTACTGATAGAATAAGTTTTGACAAATGTTGAAAAATGTCTGTTTTAAGTGAGTAAGAAATTTGAAACTCTGTATTCGAAATTATGGAGTGAAAGAGACCATGGAGTTATATATATGTAAAGTCAGCAAGAATTTGAACAAGAAGGTCTGATTTTTTTTTCTCATTTAATCATTTAGTTAAAAGTTCAGTCTGTAGTTTGATAAACCTGCATAACAGTATATTTGACGTATTTACTTGTATTTGGTTCTGTTGGTGTTGATTATATCACACAGGTTACAAGTGATAACTAGAAATACACTTATGCTTTAATTGATGTTGAAAGTATTGTGATGACTTGTAATATTGTATAACTACGCTTATTTTTTGAACACCTTTATGTCTGTCATTCTTGGGTGTAAACAAGTTTATTTTCTGTGATGAATCAGATAACATATATTGAAAAGTATTTTTTCGGGGGATGAAGACACAATTTCCAGAAATGTTATTTGTGCAAGGCATTTACTTCTGTGATGAACCAATATTATCTTTTCAGTTACCTGAGAAACCAGAGTCCCTTTACTACTGTTACCATGAAAACCATTGAGTATACATATACCCAGGGTTTTTTCCATTCACATGGAAATGGGCCTTTTTTATTTTTTATCTCATTTTGGAAAAACATGATTGATTGGGAAGGAAATTTGTAGGAGTAAACTATATACTGAAAAGATTTTGTCACATTATGAAATGAATCCATTTGGCAAGGATGTCCATATTTTGCCAAACAAAGCCCCTGGAAAAAGGTCTGATACCCTTCACCACAGGAACCATGGTAACCATGATGTACCCTTCAATGCATTCACCCTGGGATCCATAATGTACCCTTCACTGCAGTCACCATGGAAACCATGATATACCCTTCATTTCAGTCGCCATGGAATCCATGACTTACCCTTCACCAGGAATACCATGGAAACTGATAATTTCTTTTCTATAGTCATTTTGTAACCATCTAGAATTTGCATTTCAATTTAAGTGGCTGCAGCATGCAGTTTACATCAGTATATTATGGACACCACTGTAAGTGTTGATTAGTCAAATGAACATGTATCTCAATTTCCTACCAACTAAACTGGCTTCAATAGGATACTGTTAACAAAAAATTGCTTTCTTTACCATTTATCATTCTGCAATCAGTGGTATCTAATTACTGTAAGTTTTTTTCAGCTCATATTTGAATAGCAGAGTTTTGACCTCCAAAGGAAGGATTACCCCTCTGTTTATGAAATTTCTATAGAAATGATAAAGTACTTTTATGTGACTGCTTGTACAGGGATATCCTATTTTCCCATATTTCTACCAACATGAAATTCTGTTGACCTTAATAAAAACTTCAGTGAGACAGTCTCCGTTACTATAGCGATAATACATGTTATGAGACCTTCACCACTTTATAGTAGTATCTGATGCTCCCTGACCCCTGACCCATGACCCCTGTGACCTTCATTTTGTAAATGTGCATTATTTATTGAATTTCTAATTTATTTGTTGTAGATATCTGTAATAGAAACACATTACATTTTTATTATCAGAATTTTGTAAAAATTTGAAAAATTCTCTTTGAAAAGTCATTTATTTGTATGTTGTTTGAAACAAGTATGTAAGAGAGAGTTTAAGATACTGAGGTATAGAGTGAACAAAATGACCTGTCATTATTTGGTCTCTTAATTTGATTAACATAAAAGTTTAAAAATAGTTGATAATTTTTTTCTCTTTTGAAGTTAGAAAAATCACTTTTTCTAGTTTTGTGATGAAAAAAAAAAAAAAAATAGAAAAAACTATATTCTGTTTGCAAGCAAGATGTCAACAATTTTCTTCAATGAAGTTTGATGATGTTTCTTTCCTTGCTGGTAATATGTGAATATTTTGTAAATTATATGAGATTAATGACAAATTACAAAGCGAGTATTCCATCTCATAGTTTGTTAAATTTCTAGTATTTCTAATATCTGCAATATATTGGAAGTGATTTCCTCTACTAATGTGGTAAAACAAATAATAGAAGACAAAAAAAGACGTTTGATGAACAGATAAGAGTTTAAATCTGGGTGATACTCTTCACAAGAAATTTACCTTTATTAGTATAATAAAAAGATAAAAATTTTCGTTGTTTAAATCTGGAGTCCTCTGAAATATTTACGTCTTATATTACAGGTCATTTTGTGATATATGAATGATTTGAGTGAGTTCTTTCTCAATCCAGCTTCGGAAGCTGTTTTGTTGGTTATTGTTTTTTGATAATCCTAATATTTTGTCTTGTGTGTCACTTTTGATAGCATTTTCTGTTATATGTAAATCATGCTGAATATTAGTGATATGTTGGTTATATATTGAAGATGTGTTAAGTATGTTTATTGTCATTCTGAGGTATATGTGTATATATGCTGTGTACATATATAGCCATCACTGTAGATAATCATTTTTACTTGGACTCAGATTTTGATCTCGCTGTGGTTACTTGTGCTATTTGTGACTAGTGACTTTAAAGTACTGTGCTATAAAATTCTCACCTATTCACTTCTGACTTTTGTTGTCTTTTATTTGTTAAAAAATCAATGCTTTAATAATGGTTATAATTCCACTTATTGACAAAAACTTTGATTATGTAAAGAGGTTTAGGTGTATATATATAGATACAAAATCTGAAAAAAACCCTCCCTGCCCCCTCCTCACAAAATAAAAGAAAAACCAACCCTGTACTTTGTTGATGGTAGGTAAACAAAAGGTAAATCAATCAACGTGAACGATTGCTTGGTTTTTTATATCGTTCTGTGAACAGCCAGGGTCATTTTGAGACCGGGTCTCCATGGTGCGGGTAACCTCGCTAAACATACGGAAGGCCCGTCACATGCTGTCTACAGCAGTTAAGAGTCTTCCCAGGAATTTGACCACGACACCATACACCTGTGCGTTAATCTGAGAGACACGGACCGCCATCAAGGGATGGAAGTGTCGAACCTCGCACCTCGGATCTTCACCTTTGGTTATTACAAAGGACGATGTTCTGTAGACTGAGCTATTATAACCTTCTCCAACGAAAAAGACTGTAGATATAAGTTTCATAAGATAATGTTTTCTAGTACCAAAGACATTAGAGAACACCTCCACGACTCTGACCTGCATACATGTATTGCCATTCATGAACATCTTGGATACCCTTTGAAATGAAGTATATTTATTTCTTCCGTTTCTCTACAATATTCATAAAGATATTTCCAGTTGAATTAAAAACACCTTTGGTCACTAGTTCGATACTTTCATACTTCATAGTGGACGGTCACGTAGTGTTTGTATCATATTAATTTCGTGTACCAGTCTTATTTGTTAGAAAGAAATATTAGCTAGCAACTGATTAATGTCGTCTTTGATAGCCCGGGGGTTAAGCTCACTATCGCTCTCTACAGAAATGAATTAATGCAATAATCAAATCTCTTGTATCAAATTTGTCGAAAGTAATCTGAAAAATCGTTTTACGATCTGATGCTAATGTAGACAGATGATTCCCATAAAACGTTGTAATTCAAGTGTCTTGTGAGAGTTACCTTTCTTAGACCCTTCAGCCTAAGCATGCACATGTACAACAAATGTACACATACCATAGGAGTTCGTAATCTAGCGTTCTTCCTGTGACACAAAAAAGAACAGAACATCTCTATATGGAGTCAATATTTCCTGAGGTGTACTCGTAGGAAGTTTTCTTTAATGTGTCGGTTCTACAATCTCATTTAATGATTTAGATAAATAGAGGGCATTGGACATTCTAAATATGATATTTACAAAATGTATCTTGAACATTTCAAATACAAATTGTATATTAAAATAAATGGTGGAGGGGGGGACACTTAAAAGAATAAGAATAAAATTCCTGTTTAGATCTTTAACTCATCCCTCGACGCACAATGGATATGGAATGAAAATGAATTATTAAATCAATAATGGTTAGAATACATAGATATTCATATGGATCGAATGTCACACATATAATATTTATTCAATATCTTTTAATACTAATTAATACTAATAATCACAATGTATTGAGAGATAAGTTAAAATTAATCAACACATGACGTTTGGCATGTGTTAATTATCTATTTTGTAAGAAGAGAAAACATGTTTGCATTGTTGAAAACAAATTATTACATGCATTAATTATGTCTAAATCAGTGTTATCTAATTAACGTTATATAATAATGTATAATGTGTAATAACATACACGAACTTTTAAATGACGACATAACTGAATAAGTGTTATGACCATATCTAGAGCAAAAGAAAACAGGAAAACCCTCACTAAGTTTTCTATATCTATATCTATATAACTTATTTCTGTTTATATTACAGAAATTTAAACACGAATGGTGATCGGGAACACCGTCATCGATTTTGTCTCATATTCCACGCGCCTGTATTTCATGATGAGACGGGTAGTTATTGGGATAACTAGACCCAGTTAGGGCACATTCTAAAGCCAGGGTGGAATTGAATGACGAACATTCTGATATTTTCCGGCCATAGAGACCGACAGCTTTGACATCCCAAGCATTGTTGGGAAAAAGAAATACGGACCGGAGGTTCATGAGGTCATGGTACTCCTCGTTAATTCTGCATGCAGGAAGTCTGCAGATACGAGTGGAATACAGAAGTGCCATATTCCCAAGAATTGTTGGAGTCATGTTGTTCCCCGCTGTAATAATGAAATTTCTGGGACTGAGTCGAGAGATTCAAACACGAGACGCACAATTATAGGACGTGCAAAAGACCCCCAGGACTGGTCAACACAGCTGTTGATGTCTTTGTCGCAGTTTAAGGAGATTTTTAGGCCGTTGTGCGTTGTTTCCTATAACTTCAGAATTGTTTGGCGATGAGCTTAGCAAGAAGGTGATGGAGCTAACAGAAACCTTCATGTTTGGGCAACATAGGAGAAAGAATCAAGGGGTATGGAATAACCACGGCCGATCTCGCCTTCTTTTACGGCACTGCATTCTGGTCGACTAAAATCAACGATATCTTATTGGCAAACCATAACGGATGATGAATGGGCTTTGAGTAAAGTCTGGGGACAAAAACTAGAATATTACAGAGACCCAGTTCGAGTCAAGGTTCCAGGTCCAGTTTCCTCCAGTAGAGAAGAGACGGAGCTGATAGATAACGAGGTAGAGGATTTGGTAAAGAAAGAAACTTTTGTATGGTGAGTAAGGGCAGTTTATTTGCAACATATTTAAAAATGAATTGAATGACAAGTTCAGACCAGTGATGAATTTGAAGAGGTTGATTGATTGTATCGAGTCAATAGAAAAGGGCTAGTTTTTTTTAATACGTCAATTGATTTGAAGGATGCTTACTTGATCATACATATACATTAGCGTTGTAGGAAGTATTTGAAGTGCATCTGGAGAGGTTGTTCGTACAAGTTTGTCTCATTATCGTTTGATTTTTTCAGTGACTTTTACCAAGGTCTTTTAAACAATTGTCGGCAAGGTGTGTAGTTTAAGAATTAGAGACTTTTTAATACATTGACGACTCCTTGGCAGTGAAAGGGTGTTTGTGAAAGGAACGCAACGGATTTAGCCAGCAATTTTGTCGAGGCTCAATTTCTGATCAATCAGGATAAGTCAGTTATGGAAACTAACAATATTGTTGTACGCTCAGGCTACGTAGACAATTCCATTTCATTTACTGTACGCTTGACTGAAGGGAAGCTGGAGAAGAGCTTGTAGTTCTGTGCTGAGTTGTGAGAAGGTCACGTTAAGAGAGTTGACAAGCATGATAGGTCTTTTTACTTCTCCTCTAAGAGCAGTGATATTGTCCAGAAATATCACACATATTCCTTGGAGTTAAAATCTATCTGGTTGGCTATTCTGGCTTTGTGCACAGAGTCGAGAAATTTGCATGTCACGATTTTATGACGGATAGCACGTGTCATAGTCTGTGGGTAGCACGATTTGGTTGAATGATCTTACAAAGTCAATCTGGACTTGGTGTGAGGAAAAAATAATTTATTTGTCTGCATGTCATATAACTTAGTCAGCGAATAAAGATGCAGACATCTAAACATCTTTATCTAGACAAGTTATCTATACAACTTACTATAAATCACTTATTTTCGTGAATAATCATATTTCGCGTTCATTCGCGAGCATCGCAAGCAGCTTTATTCGCGAATTCAAATCCTACGCTAATATATATTTGTTGTTGTGCGTATATAAACGACTTTTGTAGTTTGGTACCCGCGAAGTCATATAATCGCGAATAAGACAGTAACTTATCTTCGTCGAAATTAAGTGATCTTACAGTAGTTCATTTGGCGAGTGGTCTTTGGACAGTGTGATATTTGACAGAATTTGTAAGCATTTCTTTACCCCAGTTGTTGGCTTGTTTGCTACATGTAGTATATTGAACCATAAATTAATAAGTTTGAATCCTGGGAGCCTGATACAGATGTGAAATCTTATGATGCATAAGCTATGTCTTGGTGTAATCTAACCCCTTATGTGTTTCCTCCTTTCAGCATGAGAACCAGGTCCATGCAAAGGAAATGATTATCGCGACAAGCATCCATGTTAGTCTTTTCGTCTTGGCGAATGTCCACATCTAAAAAATATGACTTGGCCTGGAAGAGCTGGGTTACTTGGTGTGGTGAAAGGCAAGACTATCGTACAAAGAAATACATTTTTCTGAATGAGATCACAATGGCGACCATAAAACTTCCCCATAATTTCACCAACCTGTATCTTTTGAGACCCTTTGATGACTCGAATTTACAGTGACGTGTAAACATCATAGGTAGGGAATACAGGGACAGTGCTATCCAGAAATGGAAAATTCACATTGAGGAAAATGAAATCATCACGTTTATCATACATCTTGGTCGAAAGCTGTCCATGTTGGTGTTTTGGGGGGCATTGTACTTGTTATCCCCATTGTTTGATCGCAAGAGGCGACTAACCTTGAAACATTGATATTTTCCTACTTTTCTAAAGATTTTCACCTTTTCCATTTTTCCCATGACACTGCCTAAGTCTTGGCACAGTTTTATGGTTAGGGTGTCAGAACACCTCTTATTTTTCTTGTATTTTTTGTTGATATGTTGTTATTTTCTTTGTTGTTAATCTTTGTTGATTTATTAATACTGTGGATAAAAAGATATATGCTAAACTTACATGTCATTAAATCTTTTTTAGCTCCCCTTCCCCACTACTGCCTGATGGAGACTAACTAAAGTGACTGTTTGTTTTCATCCTTTATTTGTAGGTAGCATCCTATCTTTTTCCTACTTATTCCAGACTCCAGCATCGCATACAATTTGTAGTTCACACCAATGAAAGAGGTCAAGATTTCTATCGTACAAAGGTCAATTTCCTTACAGATGATACTTGAGTCAGTATCCTGTTAAATAAAGCTATATTACAAACAGTCAATATTGAAGTTACATTGAAATATATCTTGTCAAATCCCAGGATATACACGTGTACTAATAAATGAAATTTGTCATATAGTGATGAAGTATACTTTTTAAATATATGTTGTCCAGTTAAAATACAATTATCTGACAAGGATATACACAAATGCATCTTAAATCGTAGATATATTTATTGCGTCGTTTTCAAATATTGAATAATCCTTTTGGAACACAATCGAGCGTGTCTTTAAAAATCACGAGGCGGTCCGAATATGTTCACAAAGCCAGTGTCATTTAAAACATCGCATTCACACTAATCCTGTTTTCTAACGATCATAGATGGTAATCTGATTGGGGAGGCGGTATACGATTGGAAATCATTTTCGGATTTAACATGACGCAAAACTTCACTTCGTTCACACGCAACAACCGATCTGACACGATTGTTCGGAAACATTTAAGCACAAGGACCCGGGTACCAGGAACACTACATATTTATTGAGAATACTTTTTGTAGCGTCTGTGAATGTCAGAGATGTAAAGAACACCAGAAAGGTATAATTTAGAGTTAACGATCTAGAAATTTCTCGAGAAAAATTCTGACTTTCAGTACCGCCAAAACAAATTCTTCTATTCAATACATATATTGATATCGTTTTACAAACCTATGTGTAGGTTGTGTAATTTATCCATTTTTCAAGCCCCTGTGTAGGTAATGGAATTATATTCAAAAAGCCAGACGCATTTTTCTATCCTACATTACCAATAACACATAACGCCTCAGACTTATCTCTTTTGTCGAAGAATTAATGTACCGAGATAAACTAGACGATATTTCCCCGCGGCTTTCACACCAGTTTGAACAAAAAACATAAATGTACTTTTTTCACACAACGTACAATTTACGTCGATCGTATTTCGTCGACTCTTTGACTTGTCAGATAATTTCGGTGTCTATAAGGTCGTTTTCGTCCACTGTAAACCACGATCGTATTAAATCAAAACGTTTTAGTAGAAGAGGCAGCTTAAACTATTTGACCATTGTAACCGATATCTCCCGCGATACAACAAGGAGGTCGTATTACATCTGTAAGAGAATGCAAAGCAATAATCTCTCGTTTAGCATTAGCAAATAATGAATACTTCTAAATCTACCGTGCGAGTCATCCGTCACGAGTCCTTCTCTCTTAAATCCTGAAATACATACGAAATGCTACAATACACCACATGGATTGGGAACACATTATTACAACATTACAAAGGTTCTCTCCAAAGTATTTGTTACTTTCACTATTATTTTTTTTAACAAACATTGGGAAACAACATAACCTTATCACAATGAATACTAGGTTTTCATACATTAAATGTAATACTACGACATATAGAAGCTGAGTGCACATAAACTAAACCTTTGGTTTCACTTACTTTTGCACATTTTATCTACTGAGAGATTTTCATTTCGTAAAACAATAAATTGATAACAATAACAACATTCAGAATTAGGTCATTAATATTTGAGGGTTGAGTACGTCTTTGTACACCATAACGATAGAGGACGTGGAATAGAAAAGTGGTGATGGGCATTATCGTAAGGATTTCCACAAGAACATTAAGATTTTTCTGTCCAAGTCTGATTTCCTCTAAATAAGTCGAAATTTAAGGGATAACATGTATATCTTTACTCTGTATTCAATATATTACAAATCATTTCTCCAGTTTTGTAGTATGAAGATGCTTTTTGTTGATTAACTGGTTTTGAAATGTCTGCGCGGAATTTTAAAGTAGAAAGAGGAGATTTTATTTCCACGCCTAGCCTGTTCCATGAAGTCATATTGTCGGTAAAGAGCGTGTACAAGACCATAACTTGGAACGATAAAATCATTTCTGTTTCTAAGTTGATAGAATTCTTAAAAGCAGCTGTAAATTGTACGAGATTAATTAGAAAATAGGGAGTAATAAAGTTCTTCATCTTAAATAACAATTGTAATTTTCTCTTTTTCCGCCTCCGGTAGGATAATTTTCCTAATCCGATATCAATGTATGATTAAAGGACTCGCACAAATAAATCACCCAATAAGCGAATGGGTTGTTTCGTCTAATTAGAGACCTTACCTCAATTTAGATTTGGAAACATGTATATTTTACACATTTCAATATGTAGTCAGGTGCAACATATCAGGATCTATCCTAAGTGAGCGATAAGTTTAACTTGTAACCCACTAATTTGTGCCATTTGTAGCCTTTGACGGGTATGATTCAAAGCTTGTGCTGAATTTCAAATATTA